CGTAACTCATCGTATCGTAATTACTAAGAGCCATAGAGTAACCAGTGCGTGTATTCGGGCAGTTCATCAGGTTTCATCATTGTCATGTTTACTTTTAGCAACTGGAATTAGTCCTAAAACAAGTTGTTCATCTGATCAATGTGAACAATGAAACGAGACCGACGGAAATGCGGGGCAGCCTCATTTCAGACACTGTCATCCGCCGAAGACGTGTAAAGCAGGGTAAAGTGGGCAAAATAATAAACTACGGCCAAAACGTGACCCTTGATTGTGTTGCACATGACCTGCCTTGCTTAATAATTCATGATAGTCTCACAGTCTCTTTGGGCGCATGGCTTAAGCTTCGATCGATTAATCGATAGTACCTCGAACTATTTCAGTCCGTCCTAGGACGCCATCCCAGCATTTAATCTGATTCCAACTAAGTAACAATTGCTTCGAATGAATTGAATAAAATAGTTCGTTGTTTAAAGCGAGGTCAGCATTTTTATCACGAATTAGTAATCCGATGCTGGAATTTTAAATTTCCAATGCTGAGCTGACGCTCCAATTTGCAGTAGAGGCTGCAATTTGAAACGCGGTTTGATTTCCCATCCGATTTAACTAGGCATATTGCGAACTTATCATCCTTCAGCCTCAGTTGTCTTCAAATCGGGACTTGGTACAAGGATCTAACGATGGAATTCAAGTTTAACTCATTGAAATTATTGATGTGAATGCTGAGTTCAGGCTTTCTTACCCGAACATCTGTAGAAAAGAGGCCTGAATAAAAATCAGGTCCACTGATCCTAGTGCCTGTCCCCACTCCTCATAACTTCACCAGAAATGAATGCTGACATCAGAACTTACAAAGTCATTACAGTAAATCAAACCCCTCAATTGTGGATTCCTCCCGTGAGTCCACGGTGATCAGAAGTTATTTTATTTTTGGTTCTGACTACTCATGAGTAGAGTGACCTGCGCCTGTTTACCATAACCCCATTACGGACATTGTTAAGGGTCGTTTTAAAGATACTGGCCGAAAGCGGTATGATATAGGAAATCCTGTCGGACAAAACCTGACAGATGTCCTCAGGACCAGATTGGAGCAAATTTCAGAAACCGTAAACCGATCTGTTATTCATCACAATCACATCAATCTGGGTTTATTTGGAGACCCAGCTTGGTTCAAACTGTCCCTATCATTTATGATAAGCCCCAAAAACAGCGAAAGCGGTCGTGGTCGTCAGAGTTCCAAAAAACTTGTGAGCTGTTTTCTCCAAAAAAATATGCTGCATTATCTTACATGCTGTACCAACTGAAAAGTGGGACGGCCTTTGTGCGACACCTTCATTTGAGGACCATCATAACCGGGAAATTTAAATGGATCCAGTTGATTCTCCCTTTCAAACCAAATCTGCTTGCAGATGAGTGTTTCGCAAATGAAGTTTTGCTTATTAAACATTGGAAGCTCTGGGGGAAACCCTGAAGCATTTTGACTAAGAAGAGCTTGAAAAATGATAGCAGCGATATAGCATGTTCCCCGTAACCAGACATATGTGAATTTCATGAAGTAAATGTGGGTGAAATCCGAGCATTCCACTGCTAAGCTGATCGTTTGAAGGAGGAGATCCGAGAACATCAGGATAATGACCATATGTCGGTATGCCTGAGGTTTATCCTTAGGCGGCAACCACGACCTTCTCAAAGCCCATTTCGCATTGAGAGGGAATATTGGTACTGAATAAGAGCAGCTTTTTATCTAGTATAAAGCTGTCAGTGCTTTGTCGAAATCCACTGATATACACTGTGATCCGTTTCGTGAATACATTTCGAATACAGTTTTTCAGTATTAGCGAATACCAATTTTTTTTGGAAGGGAGACTCAACTG